TCCTGGCGTTGGCCGTTCTGGCCTGTGTGGGTCTGGCCATGGGAGACGGAGGAAGTCACGGGGGAGGTCACGGCGGTGGCCACAGCTCCGGTGGCCACAGCTCTGGTGGCCACAGCTCCGGTGGCCACAGCTCCGGTGGCCACAGCTCCGGTGGCCACAGCTCCGGTGGCCACAGCTCAGGTGGCCACAGCTCCGGTGGCCACAGCTCCGGTGGTCACAGCTCCGGTGGCCACGTTGCGTCGCATTCCGTGCCAGCTTCCAGTTACGCCGCTCCCTCCAGCCACAGCGCCGGCGGATCTGGCAGCACTGGATACTACTACTACTACTACCCTGTGCAGGAGCACCAGGCGTCCAACGTAAGTAAAAACGACAATAGACGACACAAGACCGGATTGCTAAAACACACCGCGCCTGTTGGCGATAGAAATATAGGGATGTGGAGCCTAGTACCGATAAGCAAGCGTCATGTAAGATATTCCGAGACGTGAGCGCGACAACAGTCGTGCAGCATTTCCTCTCTGACTCTGGAAACGAGGGACACGAGGCCTTTGCATCAGGCTCACCCTCAAGACCAGGCAGTTGTATTCCTAAATCGGACGAGCACTGGGACCTCATTTCACGTCGGACGTCTAACCACACGAAGCAGGCTGCTCCGAGGCTGATCAGAAGTTATTTCCGGCAGCCGGCGAGGTTTAGGAGTAACTTTGACACATCGCTAGACACCAGTATGTCGGTTGGCTGGACGGCAGCCGTGGAATAACATCCGATTACGATCACGCAGCCTGGTTACGTAGATCATGTGGATCACGTAGATCACGTAACCATTGTTCAGATCATGAGCGTGTCGTTTCTCAGCACGAATGGAAGTAACACACGAAGACGAGCGTTCCTCTGCTGCGTGCGGAAGAGCGCGAATGCCAGCAGTTTGCTCCGTTACTACGCTGATCGAATATGTGACATTGGTGTGGGTTCAAGTCCTCTCGCAGGCGGAACTTTCTACCCTGTGGGGGTTAGGTGCCCCGCGTCATTTTCCAGTTTTGTAATCGGCCTATGGGAGTTGTGTGATTGAACAGAGACGGAATCCGCGAGCGTAACTGCCGAGAGAGTTGCCGCGTCTCCGCCACACTGCGGGCCGCTACGCTACAGCGTGCCACGCCCTCTTATCAACTAGTCCTGCGTCGCACCGCTCCATACCAACACTCGACGAACCCGGAATATCGTAGTCCGGAAGAATGAGCCCTAAGGCTGTCAGCTATGCGGTGCCTGCGGCCGGGCGGCCAGTTGCTCCACGTCCCCGCCGCCGGGTCCAGATGTGATCGCATCAGGCCTGACATCGGCCAGCCGTTACAGTGCCCTTCCTCGACCGGCTCGCGTGGCGGACCGGCAGCCAGTGGTATAGCGGTCCGAAATTCAGGAACTTTTTTGTTTTTCTTTACTTATTTATTCACTCAACCGACTGTCGACATGAGAATGGTCCGCTAACAGGTGGAGTGCGTATTTCTAGCACAGGTGCTTGTCCAATCTCCGATAACAAAACCGAACAATGCCGTCTGAGATGTCATCGTCGCGGGTTACGGACGCACTTATCAAGAGAGACGTCTCCCGGCAGGAGGCTCGTACGCGATGTAGTCCTCGTGCTATCAGCCGGTGGAAACAGGGCCGTTGGCCCCGGCCCCGGTGGCCGCGCCGGTTCCTACTCAGCTCTGCCTAGCAGCTATCTCGGAAAATTCCTTTGTTCCTCATGTGGCTTACATTCACGTCTACATCATGATAATTACGTGTTTTCACTCGGGTGGCTGGTAACGTAGCCAATGATAATATGGTAATATTATCGGTAATATGGCCCCACCAATGGTAATATTCCATTGGTACGGGAGCTGCCATAGGCCGGCTCGGGTCAGCGCTGGCAGTTTATGGTCACGCTGTTTTTGAGGCTACGTACCAGCAGTTAACATAAGGCCATCGCAACGACTGTAGCTGGCGGTGGTCGCACACGACCCCTACCAGAACAGGCTGAGGTGACGACGCCGTGACTATCCGATCGTGTCAAATCACAAAGTGAAGCCTTTCGGAATCGCCACAAACGCCCGCTGTGCGGGCCGGTTGTGCCCGTCCACACCGTGCCCAATCACACCCGTTTTAACTGCTGCATTCTCCCGCAACAAAGGACGATAGGTCATCTGGAGACCAGCGAGCTCGTGATGTTTTACCACGGCATTTCATGCCGAACGGGTGTGGTCTGGCCTCAGGGCGGTGGTGTTGAGACGGCCAGCGCGGCTCTGGCTGCCCTGCTGCGGGTAACCGCGCTGCCCTCAGTGGGCGGGGATCTCCCGCCGGTGGTTTTGGGATTCAATTGCGCCACTGCGGGCACAGCCTGGATTATTGTTACGTATTAGCGAGCAGGCCGCATGATATTAACTAGCGTCGCCCCATCAACTTGCCTGACCTCCGAGTGGACCCAGCTGACGCCTTCGCTCAGGTGACACAGAGGGGCGGCCCTCGTGACTGCCCCGCGTGCTAACCCCTGCCGTCCGGCCGTCGGCAGGAAGGGGGCGGCCTGGACCTCGCCGGCCCGCTGCTGATCGCTGGCGTCATCGGCATCGGTCTGCTGCTGCTACTGGCCGCAGCCGCCTACGTCGCCAACGACAACAACAACAACGGCAACGGCCGCCAGCTGCTACCCGCGATACCCGACGAGGTCAACCAGTTCATCCACAGCCAGGAGTTCAACCGGGTCGCCACCTTTGCGCTGCGGGCCATCGCCAAGCGGTGGTAGACGGGCAGGTATGCGGCGTGTGCGCCTGGTGGCCAGGCGAGCCAGCGAGCATGCAGATTTCTGCTTCTCTGGAATTGCAACTCTCTGCGTCGGCGCGATAATGCTTCTATGCGATCTTTGGCTATGCGACATATGTCTCAGAAAATCATGCATCTTCCAGTCGCATGCGTCCCTCACTCGTCACCACTCGTGATCTTGCATACTGCGTGCGGGGCTTAGAGTAACTTTAAGATGGTCGGCCTTAAGCCACGCCTTTGCACAGTCGCGCCAGTGAGGTTAAGATATCACCGTGTCGCCGGGCGCCAGTGGCTGGCTGCATGCCGCAACGGCCGCTCATGACTGCTATGGACGCGCGGCCGTTCGCTGATGGGAAACACCGTGCGGTTGTGCTGACATCCAGCTCGGTTTCAGGTCTGTCCGGCTCGGAGGAAGCAGAGAAGCCGGAGGCGCGTGCGGCTGGCCCGGTGCCAAACAGCAGAAACGTCTGAGGTGGTGGTGCTGAAGAGGAGAACGCCGTGCGTGTTGTTTGTGTTGATGCCGTGCCCGTGAGGTGTGTGTGTGACCCGGGTAGAAGCTCAGTGGTAGCTCATGCTCAGTGGTAACTCATACGAATCGATCCACAGGGTATGCGTGTGTGTGCGCTCTGCGCATGAGCGGAGGTGCCGCGTCCGTTATCGCCGGTTTGTCCGCAATTCAGACGGTTGTCTGCATGCTTTCTTGCCTGCTTTTTCATTGTTTTTTATGTTGTGCATTTGTGCAATTATGTCTTGGTCGTTGTTGATGGTCTTAATTGTTGCCGCGTTTGCGCGCGCTGCTCTGGCCGCTGGTTGTGTCGTCCGGCTTTATGTTCCCTCGTTTGTCGTATGTGTGTCTGCCGCTGTTTTCTGGGCACTGTTTTGTTTGTGACTTGTCATGTTGTGCCTCCCGTGTTTTTGTCACACGCGTTTTGAACATGCTTCTGTTTGTGTTCCGTTTTCTTAGTCCTTGTGTTATTAAATGTCGTTCATCGCGTTCATCGTCGTCCCCAGTCACGTCCGTGCTGCTTTTGTGTTCATGTTCATCACAGTAGTTTATTTATTATTAGCAGGCCTGTATTTGTCCCACCGTATCTACAGACTTTTCAGTCCCCTTCCACTATGTTTCCTAATTTCTTCTCAAGCCTGGGTTTCCACAATGGTCTGCACCACTTCTTATTCCTTAGGCATGGTCCAGACTCATAAACGTACTTAGACACTTACTCCTCAGTCAACCATTTGAGGATGTCAGCTCAAGCCCTGTGATATGTCGCCAGGTTCGCCGCTGATCAAGCCTCATTGTTGCTTTGTTGTTACTTGTTACAGCTGTTGTTGTTACGATTGTAGGTGATTTTCACCGATGTAGAAAAAGCGGAGTGGAAAGCTCGAGCGATCGTTCTCACGGCTCTTCCGCCCGGACAAAGACACGGTGCTGACCTCTGAAGCTAATACAGTTGCTACTTGAATGATATTCCTGTGTTTCCTTAAATGCTGGCATGTTACAGCGAACACTACAGAGTTGATGGTTCCAGCGTAAGAAAACGTGTGATTTGTTTCTGATACGCAGCGCGACTGGCCTGCGATATGTACTCTTCCCAGCGCAAACGAAAGCTACGAAGATTTCACCAATTATGGACTGCGCCAGAGCAGTTAACCAACACCAGTCCCTTTAAAAGAAACCGAAGAAACATGCCTGGCATCCAAGCGCCATTTTGAAAAGGAAGTGCGCCACACTTATAATGCTGGTCAGATCGGAATTTACCTGGCCCTCCACCGAGACTTTCACCAAATATGCCCTGTGCCGGTCCAAAATGGAGCGGTCTTCATAAGGCCAGGACTTCTTCAGTGCGTATCAAGTGACCGAGCCCGCGCTCACACTATCGCTGTCGCTTTATTTGACACACAAAGAGATAGCTACGAAGTTGATAAGCATCAATCAATACGCGTAATCAATAAATACTTCATTAATGTGATGAGTCAACAGCATGATCGGCCTCTTCAACAGCCCTGACTGTCCATGGAAGCTGTGCTATCTTAAAACCAACAAAGTATTGTAACAGAACAAAGGCCACAAATTGGCCTTGCATGCACAAGCTCACGCTCAATCACAACTCTTTGGTTAATGCACAAGATTCAAGCTAATATATAACAGAAGCACCTACGGAAGCGTGCGTTATCAACTCACCCCTTGCAGCTGCATGGGCAAGAGATGTGGAAATGTGTGGGACTGTGGGAAGTCACGTCTTAGCCGTTGGGAGCACGGGGAGCGCAGCGAATGAGTATTTACGCGTACCGTCAAGCTGAACTACACCGCAACTCCCTCCTCTACTCGCACCGCGGCGTCGAGCCAGTGTCGCCCGCCTGCTGCCTTCCACGCAAGGTTGGAAGGTCAACCGCTCGTCTCCTACTCATCTTCCCAGGCCGCACACGCCAACAGCTGGCACTTGGGATCGTCTGCGAGCGCCGCTTTCCTCATCACCAGCATATTGGTGCTTTTGCTGGGGTAGAACACGCCGATATACCTGAAACCACATGCATCGTCAATATGGTCGCCGAACCTGAAGGTTTCCTTACACAGCTGCCTTTTGTTGCGCGTCGGACGCGCTTCAAAAACAGCTGACGTCATGAGGAAAAGTGTAATCTTCAGGCAATACGTACACCACAATGCCCAGGCTGAGATAAAAAACGGCTTGCCCGTCGAATTGTGAGTCATGCCATAGGTCAAATTATCCCCTTAAACAATCTTGAATAGTCAGGCATGCAAGCTAATTACAATCAATGTGTTACCGCTTATCGCCTACAACCATCACAAAAATAAGTCAAAATTGCAGACGCCCTTCCTCCCCAAAAGAATACTCTTTGTGCACTAAACGTCGAAAAGTATACGAATTCAGCAAACTACGACGCAACGGATGCTTGGTTTATGGCCTGGGGTCATGTGTGTCGCACGTGTGTCCGACGCAGGTAATCAACGCCTGAGTGAGCACACCATGAGCGTCGAGTGATCGGAAATACCTGCCCGTATTTCAGCGATGCCTAAGTGGCGCCAAGAAATGCCCCCCCCCCCCCCCACAGAGGGGCAGACCGGCCTCGTGCATGCCAGGCGTGCGCGGGTGTGGGACGTAATATCAACGGATAAACAAATGTGTCATAATCCGATAAGCAACACTGTAAAGGCCTTACAACCACTGGGCACCAGTCCCTTCTCTCCCACGCCAATCGCGCAGCAAGCGTACGGTGCGAGCGCGTGGCCTCGCTGAGAGCGTGTCCACTGCCGCCCCGGGCGGGCGGAGTACGGCGCGTGCTCGGCCGCGACCGTGGTCAGGGCCCGACGCGCCGCGCCTGCCCGGTCGCTCATCTCTGCTCCACTGGACGAAGTGCAGCAACAGCCGGAGGGGTGGAATATTGCAAGCAGGTTGGTTCTGAAGGTCGCGCGAGCTGATCGCGCCCGGAGGAGGCGGTTCCGGCGCAGACGCGACGGCGCCGCCCGCCGACCGCGGCCGACGCCGTGACACACAAGGTCATGGTCGGAGTGGTTCTGCTTCGTCAGCGTGAAGCGCGGCGCCCGATGCGCCTGTAAGAATAGGCTTTGACAGGCGGCCCACATATCCGTGAAATTGTTGGTTGAGACGTCAGAGATAATGCTTCCTTAATAGCAAGGGCAATCACGTGGAGCTTATCGGCCATCTGTGGTCTTCATCACTGTTCAGCCTTGATAGCATCTTTCATGGAAGCTTTTTTCTGTGGAAATCTCACTCCCACTTCTCATCTGGATGCAACTCAGTTATAAGTGTCTGAATGCGAAAGTTGACTGGGAATAAAGGACATTTCGATTGTTAAAATAAAGTTGTATAAAGGCTATTAACTGATTTCAACTCATAATTCCGAAAAAGGAGCTAAAGGCCTTATTAACATCAAGTGAAACTTTGATTTAGGCGGCCCCTCTAAATAAATGACTTATTTCACCCCTTTGCACTGCAAACTGGGACGTGTCAAAAAACGGAGTGTGTTCTTTATCTACCGCAGACAGCGCGACCTCTTATCATCTTTTAGTGGTAGTGTCTGCACAGATTTGGAACATTTTCTGGATTCACGTGTGTTATTTTTCAAGTGCAATATTTTGCTGAATCTGTCTGAATCCTTGCCACTCTCGAGGATAAGCGCAGCTCGAAATGTCGAGTACCATCAATGTAGTTGTTACTAAGCACTAGAATGTCGTCTAACCAGTGTCTCCTGGTAAAGCATTGGTTGTTAACTCAACGTAAGGTTTTTTAACTCACAAGGCAAAAAAAGAACAGCCCTTTCTTCCTTATGCCAAGTGCGTCGTTGCCATTAGTCCTTTACATGACTAATATGTGCCGGCACTCACGCAATATCTTCATTAACCGTGACGTTCATGTCATCAGCGTCATGTTTCCATGCTCACGGTAAATTATTGTGAGGTGTCTGACCGTCCATTTTACATTTAACGCATTCATTCCGTCAATTGGCGTAGTCCGCTTTGAAAACACCCATGCAAAAGTCAGACAAAACTCGTGCCATAAGGGATGTACCGTGTGCAGCCCGTGTCACAAGGCCCCGACGAGGACCGGCCCGCGCCGCGAGGTCCCGACGAGGACTGGACTGTGTCGCGAGGTCCCGACGAGGACCAGCCCATATCGCAAGGTCCCGACGTAGACCGGCCCGGCCCGCGAGGTCCTGGCACCGTGCCGGCGGCTCCGCTCCAACCTACTTGAGGATGCGTTCAGTGTAGGGCGTGTCGCCGACCACCGAGCCCAGCTCGCAGAACAGCCGGCTGGTGCACAGCGGGTCCTCGCTGATAGATTCGTAGATGGTTCTCAGGCGGTACACTAGGTCATCGGACGGATCATCCAGGTCATCTGGATCGAGGCGTTAGTATCAGTCAGTGTGCAAGCCAGGAACAATGCACAGCGATAACAACAGCTTGGCGTTGACGTACAGAAGTGGGTTTCGTCTTTTGTTTTGCTCTCTCTCTGGTATCTTGATCTGGGTTGCAAAAGCTTGTACTCATGAAAGCCATTTGCCATTGATCAAAGCACGCCTTATGGACTGAGGCAATGCTCTAAATATTATCATCTAAAATTGCTTTTGACTGAATTGAAGGCTGGCCAGTTTCTTCACAGTGCAGCCTAGTATAGCTCATGCAAAAACCAGAATGCACCGAGAGAAGGCAGTAACGGCTGATTGCAGATAGCAAACTCGGCGGGTTTTTAGCGCGCTAGCGCCCGGTTAGCATGCATCATTCGTCACTTGCCATTCGTCGTATGCGGCTCAACGCGTCAGGTTTTCTACGTGTTGTGACACCAAAGGCCTGCAAAAACGTCTAAAAGCGCGTTCCGGATTCCGTTCGGCTCCATTGTGAGCTGAACGACGCCTGCGCGTCGTCGAGGCGGACGTGACGGCGCAAGTCCGCCGGGATAAATGCTCAGCACATGACGACCCGTATCCGCAAGGCGGATGTAGATCCACGCCTCTTTTCTCGTAATGACGCTGCAAGATGAGGGCAACCGGCCGTGTACCGCGCGCAGTCCTGGTCTGGCCTGTCCTGTGTCCTGATACGACGGCGCGATCTGTTCTGGCGAGCCAGCCCGCAGGTCTGCCGGCGGCGGTTGCGCAGCTTACCCACGGGAGCCGCGGCGCGTCGTCGCCGGGTGCCAGAGACGTTGACCACAGATGGGAACAGGAACAACAGCCCGATGACCAGCAGGATCGGGATGATGATGGCGCCGTACTTGCCCAGGTTGTCCAGCAGGCCGCCGCCGCTGCTGTACGACTGCGCCTCCGTGTAGCCGTAGCTGTCAGAGTCATCGTAGCTAGACTGACTGTAGCCGACGCTGGGCTGGCTGTAGCCATGGCTCGGCTGCACATAGCCGGAGGAGCTGGAGTGGTGGTGTCCCCCGTCCCTGTTGATCGGCGTCACCGGCGACGCGGCCTGGCTCTTGACGTTGGTTGGCAGGCTCTGGTACACCTTCTGCAGCTGCTGGAACGCCTGCCGGTCAGCCGGCACGGCTGGGAAGCGGACGGCGCCCTGTCGGTTCTGGGTCGGCGTCTGCAGCGTTTTGGCCCCCTTGGTGGCGGCGGTGGCGATGGCTGATGTCTGGGAAGGCGTGATCGTTTTCCCGGCGGCCAGGCCGAGACCCAGTAGGAGAGGTGTCAGTCGGACCATATCTGAAGGAACAGGAGCCGAGCAAACTCCATAAGCAAACAACAATAATATGCCATTGAACAAAGCGCGCGTCAGTAAGACATCATCTTGCCATTGAAGATGCCTGACAGTTAAGGCCCAATTGTTAGAAGCCGATATTTTCCTGTCACTGGTTGAGCATTAGAATGACTGATCGGAAGATTTTCATTACTTAAAGGAGTACCCCACCTTTTTTTTGCCTTTAACTTATTGTTACATCAAACACGTAGATTTGATCAGTGATGCCGATTTTCTTGCAATCCTTCTGAAAAGCTCAGAGTTTGGATTTGGAGCAGCCGCTCCTGCGCGAGCAATTTTATTGGAATCCATGCCCACCACTACGAGAGTAACGTATTTCGTTTCCCACGCTTTTCCAGCGTTTGCTTTCTGTGATGTTAATACACACTTAATGTGTCAAAACTAGTGCGTAATAGATGCTGCGGAACCTTGAAACATTCTGCTTGGGCAAAACGTATGCAAACATGAAACAATTATCCCGCGCAACGCAACGTTGCATTATGACCTTGATTTCTCCCCAGCGGCGTTTGCCGCGGTGGCTATTTTCGAGGCGCACTTTGGCTTTGGGAATGGGAATATCACATGATCCGCATGACGCACTAGTTCAGACTTTAACCAATGCACTTCTCGGTAACGGAGCTTCCTCGAGCCTAAGAGGTTTTACTGGAGTGTGTTTTTGAAATGTGACCCAAAAGTGGGTCACACACTTCAACACCATCCCCGACTTGCTATTTCAGACATTGTTCTAGCTGGCACGTTCATTTCGGTCCTCTCATACCTCAACTTCGTTGTATGATTATTGAAAATATTGAATATAGTTTTTATGTTAAGCGTAAGCAATCTTCAGCCTACCTGGAGGTACAGTTTCAGCTACGCCATCAATGGTGACAATCATGACAACGCTCACATTTTGCCCAATCCCGCTGCAAGAAAAAAATATCTGGATTGAATTTCCATTTCCATTTAGCCTCCGTCTTTATTGATTTGTAAACGTTCCACACGAAGGCAATAATCTTTTAGAGCCTATTCATGAGAGTAATAGAAGATGTACGCATGACTTACCTTATTTGATCAAAGTTGAATGGTTCTTGGGAGCTTGAACGCTCATTTTAGCATTCTCACATTTTTCTAATTTCATTTGATATGCCCGAGAAAATCATGTTGTGATGATCAGGAAGCAGCAAGAAGGAGGTTAAGCTCTAGCAGTACCCCGATTTGAAAGACAGTCTAAATAGTTTACCTTCTTGTCATGGTATCTGACATTCCTGTTTTGTGCTTCGGAGCTAATGCCTAGTAATTTCACTCGAATGATTAGGTTGTCAGTAGCTATCAGATTAATTATTTCAAGGGAAATTGGAGTGATCCGATCTTTCTTTAGTGAATTAGGATAGTTAGGAGCACTAAAAAATTTTACAGCCATATTTTGGACGGCATGAGAATGGTCAGGAGATAATTCTGGGGATCATTACGATCCCCAAGGCCAAGAACAGTGTCAACGCCTGGAAACGTCTGGCCTAGTGATGGGCGTCTGTGACCAAAAGATGTCCTTCGGGCACGCAGCGTGTCTCCGGAATGTCCACCTCTCGCAGAATATACTTCATATTCATTGGATCGCTCTTACAGCATCCTTCCACTCCACAATCGTGCTCTCACTTTGTGGATTGTTCGCAACAACAATAGAATTAATCAAATCTACTACGAGCGTGGCCGTAGACCGAGAAAGCCTCGCCTTAGCTAATCGGAAAATGTGAACCTTTAGCCGTTGGGCCCCGGCCCAAACCTGCCAGACACGCCTTTGACGGGAATATATCTATGCATTCCCTGATAGCGCCACTGTTAACTGTTCAGCAGCAAGAAGCTCAATTGTGTTGTGATATTTGTAAGGTATTTGAACGCTTCGATCCTTTAAATGCTTACATGCGTTAGGCTGTTGGATCAGGCGGCGAACTCCCATGAAGTTGAAATGTGGCCACCATTTCACCTCCCCGTTCGATTGTAATGGGACACATTGGGAATCGATATCGACGTAATGAAATTGAAATTCAAGTAATGAAGAACATAGGGAACGAATGATCCAGAACTAGGCGACCAGGCACCACAGTAACATGAGACCAACACTGCCGGAGAGGAAAGTGGAAAATGTTACTGGCCAAAGTGCGGGTCAATGTGCGCAGGCGATCTTGCACAATCGTGCGCCACCATGGATCCGCGCTTCTTCGAGCGCCTCATTTAACTCGGCCAGAGCAAGTTGAGGCGTGAAGCTGCGCGATATATGGGACTGTGCCTCCCACAAATAGGTGATCTTTTCAGTGTTCAACACAGGGGCTGCAAAGGCTCCACCGTCACGTTTTTCAGAACCGGCCTGGAATAAGACGGGTCGGAGCCCAGACCGGAGAAGATTGGGCCTTGGCATACGTGGGTGCCATTTCCCGGCCTATTGTTGGCAATACTTATCTCAAACAATAATGACTTCCAATATTTCTGTAGCAGTCACCAAAAATGTGGCCCATGCGGAGTTCGCTCACTTCGGCGATTTTAATTGTCAGGCATTGGCAGACCCAACGCCACCCAGCATTACAGCCATAGATGTGTACGGTGCGAACGGTCACATTACATAGGTCCTTTAACGCAGATGTGTAATGCAGAATCTGGGTTGAGCGTACTTAGTTTTGACTGTTATGGCAGTACGTAGCGCACAAATGTAAAGGAAATCGGTCAACCAGCCTCAGAATTGCAGTAAAGTCGTACCCGACGTATATTTGGAATGACATACATCAGATTGATGCACTCTGTACAGCAATTTACCCAGTAAAGAAGCGCATCAAAGTCAGATTGGTTTCGTTTCACTGACTTTTCACTCAATTATGACTTTAAATTATCCATTCACAAGAAGCCCAAGAAATCTCGGCGCAGTAGCCAGCAACAATACTGAGCTGGACCGAAGGCGCACTCGCCTTCCAGATCATGTTTCCGCATCGGCTGTTACATGTGCGACACACGCATTTGCAGGAGCAGGACAGCGGCGTGACTCTCGAGCTCTGCGTGGCCTCCGCGGCCACGGTCACGGGCAAGTCAAACCGTCCAGTCATCGCCGCTCAAGCTGCCCGCGGCACACTCAGTCTCCATTAGAAACTCACTAACTAGCTTCACGTTGGCCGGGCAGGCGGTGCTGCACGAGGCGGCTGGTGACAGGCTGATGCCGAGGGCCAAAGCAGACGTCCGCGCACTGGGCCACAGATCGGAGCGCGGGGTCGTTCTGGGTCGCCCGGGGCACCTACCTGACAGCGGGCCGGCGGACGAGATACTGCTGCCCCCCGTCACGACGCGCGGCCAGTCGCCGACCCCCGTCACCCCCGTCACGGAAGTACGCGGGGTGAAAGGTCTCGTGACATTGTGTCCAGCGGCGGCTCGTCGCGGCTGCGTGGCGCGGCGAAAGTGCCGGCTTGCAGCTCTAGTTGCCACCACGGTGGCGAAACAATGGGTGACCGTCACGGAGGGTGACGCCGGCGCGCGTCACGCTACCGTTTCCGCGTCACCGTTACGTCACCTCTTGATGCGGTACCCGCAAGAGGAGGACGATGTGAAGGACAGCAGCGCGGTGTGCATCGAGCCAGCCTAACTGACGTTGCACTGCAGGGCGGGCCAGCCTGACTGACGCTGCACTGCAGGGCGAGCTAGCCTGGCTGACGCTGCACTGCAGGCGAGCAGTCTCCCAGGGCCTGATCTCAGACGAGGAACTGTCGTCTTGGTGCACTTTATTTATTCACGTACCCAACCGTCACAATAACTGCAAACATGCCTCGCGATCTAGTTGCGCAGCGTCCTGTTGCAGCGAAACAAGTAGAGCGCGAGATTTCTTGCAAAACGCTGACGTCATATCGTGTGAAATCGTGTAACTCATTTGGCAACTCGGCAATGGATGATTACGCTCTGTTTAGATACAGTTTGGCTAGTTATAGGCGGTCGATGTTGGAATTAAGCCTGAACAAAAAAACAATCTTTAAAAGACACCTAAACTTAAAAAAGCATCTGTAACTTAGAGGCGCTTTATCAAAATGGGTTGCCATGAAGATATTCTTCTCTCGGATCGAACATGCTTGACGTTCGACGGTTTTTGGCACGATGGCTTCCACCTGATTGTCAATGATCAACTACTACATCAACGTCAAAGTAAGAAGCTTCTCCCTACTCATATTAGTGTTTTTTTTGTGGGTTAAGTTCGCACACTTCAGCCGAGTGCAACACGCCAAATTGGAATCAAATCCGCCAACCTCCCTTTACTATTTCGCCACTTGCATTTTTAAAGTAAATTCCAAATCTTGTGTGGTCAAATTCTGCCTAGCGAAAACATTGGTAACCGTAATTGGCATAAGAGTCCTTCAGGGGCAAGATTTCTATGTCCACAACCACCTTACATCGGCCTGGTCATACCCGCACCCGCCCGCTTCATGTGAAATGAAGGTCTTACCCGCCCGTTAACCGCCCGTTTGTCGTTCTCTGAAGCATTGTATAGAATGTCCATTGATGCGTAAAGAGGCATTTAATAGACTGTAAGACGCGCATTTTATTGCTTGTGGTGTGCTACGGCTTCAGGACATGAAGTTAATGCTTCAGGACACGAAGACAAGTCAGCACCAAGCGACACCCACCAGCAACCAAACTAAGCTTGCAGTTCTCCAAACATAGTACGGACAGACAGGTAGCTGAGACTGTCCGATGAGAGGTCACATCTCGTCATAAATATGATTAATGCTTCAGTTGCCGATACACTTGCTTATGTCTATGCACCCGTATTATATGAATATTATGTTTATCACGTGCGTAGAAGAGAGTTGAGTTTGGCAGCGTGGTTAATTTTGGCGCATGCTCGCCATCACCATGGAAACAACATGAACATACTTTACTGAACTGTAACTTTTCAAAGGCACTAGGATAGCGACTATGGACGCAACATCCCAATTTACCTGTTTTCTTTTACTCCGCAGCAGGTAAGTGGCCCGATGATTCTGCTCATGAGCGCGACTCATTTGAAGATGGATCCTCGTTCAGGGGATCCTCTGAGACCACAAATTTCAAACTGATCGAGGCTGTGAAAGCGTAAGCGTCGATCTTGAAAAACAGGCGTTGCAAGATCAGAGGAACCACGACTGAAGTTCGCGCACCATGTGGTATGGCTTGGATTGTTATTCACGATCTTCACATGAGTAAGGTGTCTGCCAGGCGGGTGCCACGATACATGAGCCAAGATCGGTATCAGGGGTTAAATTGAGGAAGTGGCTTCTCGCTGCGTACGGTGCTGATCCTGCAGACTTCTTTTCACGTTTGGTGACAGAGAATGATGCATGGCTCACCACCGGGTTCCCGAGCCAAAGTGTAAGGGTGTGCGGCGAAAGCACAAGGGGTTTCTCACTCCTAAGAAGTTTCGGACCCAGGCCTCTGCAGTCAGAGTGCAGAACATCCTTGCAGAACATGTATGTGCAGAACACCATTGACAACTGCGGCTTTGAAGAGCTCATCGTCCGGCCTGTAATTTTAACCTTGGCTTCAAGTGACTCTTACTTCCCCGGCGTTTGAAATCGCACCCCTGGGAAAGGAGGTGCACTGGTGATGATTGTATGCGCACCTGCGGGAGGATGGCTGATATACATACCAAGGGAGTTCTTCCTCAGACGCATCGAGATCATCGGGGAGATATAGAAGAGGTCCACTGCTTTAAGGAAGAAAGAGCATCGATGAGTGTAACAGCTTCCTGAGATCTACAAGCGTTATTGATGCCCTCGTCATTCGAATTTTGCCATCAATCACTGCATTCCTTTGTTTTAAAAATACATGCTACTTTCCCCCGCGTTTTTGGAACTTAGTATGTTGCTCGTGAGTCGGTTTTACAATAATAGCCATTCATTGGGCCTAACCTATTCATTTGTTTACACTGGCGATTGACACACGCAAGTGGTCTCAGGCCATATACCGTAACATTATCTGCCTACATCATCCTTTTACTAAATGCGTTACACTTTTCAGCAACTGTCACCACTGCGTACAGGATATGTTCTCGTCTCCCACCCCCATTTGGTCACAATGGCCGTTCTTTTAGAGAAGAAGGGTCCAAAATAGCTGATGGCTGCTTGTTTAAAAGTCTAGCATGCAGATTGTATATGGCAGGTTTGTAAACGATAGGCGGCGTTTTGTAGATTGCGGCTTTTTGATGTGTTGCAAAATGTAAATGATTTACGTTAACAATTAGATCTTAAGCATGACTTGGATTGTGATAAGCAAGTCATCTGAAGTCTGTACCGTAATGTTGATACGCTTAATCAGTGGTGCAACCATATCTCTGAGATCGATAGGAGGCAAATCAAGATTGTGATCTTAACTGAAATGTGGGGGGTTAAGCCTGGAAATGACATGAAAATTACAGTTTTGAATGACAAAATGCAAAAATGAACTATACAAACAAAACAAGACACGGTAATACCACATTTTGGGGAATTGTAGAGATGTTACACTGCCCTCCCCGCAGATTGTCAGAGAGCAAACAATGCTTATTCTACATTTTAAGTTGCAAACACTGAGAACGATAATGATAAAATGCTGCCTAAATTAAAACAGCCCTTAGAACTGTCCACTTAAATATTTGTTTTATTTATCATATCAATGGTTTAGATTTTGTTGAAATCCAACACTTTCTCCCACACGCACTGATAATTGCGTGCAGGGACTATGTTCAGCAACCGGGGAGCAAAAATCTCTCTCTTCTCTCTCTCTCTCTCTCTCTCTCTCTCTCTCTCTCTCTCTCTCTCTCTCTCTCTCTCTCTCTCTCTCTCTCTCTCTCTCTCTCTCATCGTTCATGGGCATGCATACATACAGAGCCATAAATTTCGATACACATCATAAGCGAGATTGCTGAGGCGAGGAACCGATCATAGAAGCCGAACGGCTTGTGTGGAATGGACATAAGCAAGGTGCGAAATTTATCTTGACGCTTATCTTTTTTTAGATTGTTATGCAGCCGAATTCAAATTTAGAATGGACCATTCTTACTGTGACGGACTGGGCATGGCTGGATTCAGCAACTCTGGAAAATTAGGAGTTCTAGTGAAGAGCATAGTCGCTAATCAGTATACCAGGGGTACTGGTCAAATATTTTAAACATGCAGGAATTGCTTTATCGTGACAACGTTTTCCTTAGAAGATGTTGAGATTTAGTGAATTTACGCTGAGATGTATTTCTATTTCGGAGAGACATTTAGGCATGAATTATATTCAGTTGATAGTATATTCTTCATGAGTGTGAACGTAAATTTAGTTTTCTCAATGCAGCTAAAGTTTGCTTTGTTACGCCGTTAAACCAGTAGTCTCTTGTCACTGAAGACCAAATATTTTTATCGTAAGAATTCCCAACTCGTAGCGGTAAAAAACCAAGAGCTTGAGGTCGGTCTTGTTTGCATGTTTTCTTTTTTT